CATGCCTCCTTCCCTTTCTCTCCCTCCCTCTCTGTCCGCCCCAGTTTTGCCACACTGTTATTTTACACTCGTGTGGGTCTTCGGTCTTTCTTCCTCTTCATCTTTGGTATGTTTGATTGTTTCCCTCGGTTGGTTGCAGCTGCACCTGCTGAGCGCCAGCGGAGGGAAGGAAGGCAGGAAGGGGGGCAAGGAGCAGGTGGCCGCTGTGTGTTGACTTGCCCTGCCCAAACCCAGATTATCGGTAGGCCAAACTGCAAAGAAAGAGCTGGGCTTGAACATGACCGCAGGGCCAGTCGCCATTTGGATAGAGAGCATGCCATCAGTAAGATTGCATGCAGCCTAAATCTCAAGTTTGGGCCTGGAAACCTCAGAGCTTGGGGCAATCGTGAAATGACCACCTGAAATGCAACTGTTTTGAGGAATGCAGATTGCATTCCTCAAAACAGTTGCATCTCAGGTAGCCATTTCACGATTGCTCCAAGCTCTACGGTTTCCAAGCCTGAAACCTGAGATTTAGGGTGCATCCACACTGCAGGAATAATCCAGGTTGACACCACTTGAAGTACTATGGCTTTCTGGGAATTGTGGTTTGTTGTGGCCACAAATTATGCAGTCTGGGAGAGAAGACTAGGTATCTCACACAATTACAAATCCCAGAATCCTATAACACTGAGCCATGGCTGTTAAAGTGAGGTCAAACCGGATCATTTCTGCAATGTGGATGCATCTTTAGAGGGAGACCCTGGAGAATGACATTAAGTGTTTTGCATCTACTACTAATCACAGTCACTCACAATTTGTCATTCAAACACACACATAGAGGGCATATTCTCCTGTCTGGAAACTGAGAAGTCTTCGCTTAAGAGGCTGTTTCCAGAAGGAGGTAAAAATAGGGGATTATGCCTTCTCACTTACTTAGGGAAATGGATAAGGACCATTTAATGCACTCAAAATGATAACAGGAGGAGGGGGAAAAGAATTGATGATGAAGCCAATGAAACTTGGAAAGCTTGTAATATGTTTAATGTTGCAAACTTTAATGAGTCAGCCCAATAAAGGCATCCCTGTTTTGTGGATTTTGGACGATGCTGTACTTTGCGCTATGGCCAACACGGCTACCCCTGGATATGTTCTTTTGACATAAAGGGTTTCTGCCATCTCTTTGCACCAGAGGCTTTTGCCTTCCCCATTTCACTGCTCACCCTCTTTACACAAACACACACACACACACACACACACACACACTTCATCTAAAGCCCATCTGTGGTTCAAACGGATGAGCCCCTTCCCAGGCCAGCCATCCCCATTTCCTTTTTCCCATCTTGGCCTCCAATTCCCAGGCCTTCCTGCTGACCTTGGCATTTTTGCAAGCTGCTTTCCTGACCTCAGTCCACCCCTCTTCCTTCCCCTCCCGGTTTCCTGCTTCTGCGGATCCTGTGCCAAGGCAGCCAGGCTCTCCTCTATTCTCCCATTCCCTTTGCCCTCTCCCAATCCTGACACCTCTGATATCTAAGTATCCTCCAAGCCACTCTCTCTGCCTGCCCCATTTCTTCTTCTCCCTCCCCATTGCTCCCTCGCTAGGCAGGGCTGGGATCTAACAAACTGGGGCTGCATCCGCACTGCTGAAATAATCCAGTGTAACACCACTTTAACTGCCACGGCCTGGTGCTACAACAAACTACAACCCTCAGAATTCCATAGCATTGTGCCCTGGCAGTTAAAGTGGTGTCAAACCGGATTGTTTGCGCAGTGTAGATAAAGCTCAGGTATAGTTGGGTGGATGCTGGTTGGACTCCATTTTCAGAATAGACAGAATTTATCCCAGCAGCAGTGGGGAACTTGGCTTGCATGATACCTGTGGCATCCATCACGGCTGCACAAAGTCTGCCACTCAAATAAAAGGCGCCAAGGCTAACAGATAAAGAAATCATGTACTTGGACAGAGTTTTCAAGACAGGCCTCTCACCCTGAGATTCCTCCCTCTTGCTCTGCAAGGCTGGAGGAAAGGACCCAGACTCTCAGATCAACAAAATGCAATTTTTAATGCAAAATAAGCCAAACAAGTCAAATTATGCATGTAGTGTGGCATCACGGTTTGGGTGTTGGACTACAACTCTGGAGACCAGGGTTCAATTCCCTGCTGGGCCATGTAACTAAGGTAGGCCAGTGTTGCTGCTTTTAATGTGAGACCCATGGAAGACCCCTTTACTATCATATCATTACATGTTAAGCAGCGTGGCATAGTAGTCTGAGTGTTGGACTACAACTCTGGAGACCAGAGTTCGATTCCCCGCTTGGCCATGAAACCCATTGGGTGACCTTGGGTGAGTCACACCCTCTCAGCCTCAGGAGAAGGCAATGGCAAACCTCCCCTGAACAAATCTTGCCAAGAAAACCCCAATATGAGTTTGCCATGGGTTGCCATAAATCAGAAAGGACTTGAAGGGACACAAGGCAAGAAAAGCCAACTCAACGCGCATGAGTTATAGCGGTGCTATGACTCTCTTTGGTATGGCATTTGCCTCGCTTGAGACCTGAGATTTGCTTTGAAAATGATTTCTCAAGAAGGAATGCATAGACTCCTTTCTTTTCTTGGTCCTGGGAGCGTTTGGGTGTTTCCAGAAGCAGCTCCGCTTCTCCCCGATCCATCCCAGGTTGTGACCCTGCGATTCCTGACGGCTGCTTCAGGTTCTGTGGGTTTGGCTGGGAATGTGCCAAGTTTGTTTTATTGTGTCAACAGTGTTTCCGGCTTTTCGGGGTGAGCAGGGACCGGCGGAGGCTGAGTTCATGACTCCGGCCGGCGTGAGTCACCCTCCAAACCTGGGAGGGCAAAATGCAACCCGTGCAGACATGCCCAGGAGAACCGAAATGCCACAAGGCAGGAAGGAGACTCAGGGCCCCGCAATGTTTGGCGCAACCGGGGCGAGGATGAGCGCACTCTTGGGTCATCCACGCTTTCCTTTCGGCCTTGAGGAACCCAGCAACCTCAGCTTCCTTCCTTCCTTCCTTCCTCGGGTCTGGCCACCCACCCACCGGATGCCCACCGCGTCTGCTTTCCTGCGCTCTCTTCCCCACCCATTTCCACCATGAATGAAAGGACATTTCCCCCTAAAAGCTGAATATTTACAGCAGAGGAGTGAGCAAAGTGAGGCCCTGGAGCCATTATTCCAGATTTCAGGATTCCGGATGATGGAGACTAAGGGGTCAGACTCTCCATGCCCGGATCTGCGCATGACTATCCTGAATGAGTTTATTCTCCGACGCAATGGTTCCTGTGCCACTGGTTGGCCCTGCAAGGACTTACTTACAACCAGGAGTGGCATATCCTGTCTCCCTGACAAGTAAATATTTGCTCAAATCCAAGGTGATAAGCATTCGAGAGAATTTTCGAAAGTCTGTTTACTAACACCGTGGCAAAAGTACGCAGCATTGTGGAGTGAAGCCACAGCAGAACAATGCAGTATATGATGGAAGAAGAGCTGTTGGCGAAGCCAGTCTCAGGCTGCGTCTGCACTGCAGAAACAATGCAGTTTGAAAACACTTTAACTGTCCTGATGGCTCAAATGCTATGGAATCCTGGGAGAAGATCCATAATTCTAGGTCTGTAACTGCAATGCAGAATGCTAGACATCGCTCCCTTGGTTTTGCTGGTTACTGTCATATCTACTCATTTCAGGGACTCCTGATAGCAATTACTTTGATTTGCAGAAGTGTTCTTCCAAGGTTTTTAAAGAAAAACTGGGGCATGTTCTGGTGAGCTGGTTTATGATTTTAAAGGCTATTTTCCCCCCACAAAATAGTCTGGGACAATAGACTAGGCATGGGTCGTGGTTTGGATGTTGGACTATGATTCTGGAGACCAGGTTTCAAATCCCTATTTGGCCATGGAAACCCCCTGGGTGACCTTGGGCAAGTCACACTCTCTCAGCCTCAGAGGAAGGTCAAGGCAAAGCCCTGTCTGAATAAATCTTGCCAAGAAAACCCCATGATAGGCTTGCCTTAGGATTGCCATAAACTGGAAATGACTTGAAGGCACACAACCGCAAAGTGGGAGAACAGAAGCATTGGATACTAAAACTGAGAGTGACAGCAACAAATATTACAACCTACTAACACTTTCCCCCCTTTCTAGGGAAATCTTAAATGGGTTCATAGCCGTGGAACCTGGTTAGGATGATCCAGTCGATCAGGGAGACTGTGAGGAGGGAGGAGTGGCTGTGTTCGTATGTGTCCATGCGCAACTAGTGACCTCACGTCCTTCCTCCTCTTCCTCCAAATCTTGGATCCGGCATGGGTTAGAGGAAGGTGAGGCACATTTAGCGTGTCCCTGGTCCGAAATTCAGGGCTGCTTCCCTGACATTGGCAGCTGAAGTTGCGTGACTCTTAACACTAACAATAGTTTGGCCAAGCCAAGAAATCAGCCAGGCACACAAATAGGGACACAGAATCATAGAATCCTGGAGTTGGAAGGGACCCCAAAGGTCATCCATTCCAACTCCCTGTCATGCAGGAATAGAAGTTAAAGCATTCCCAAAAGATGCCCATCCAACCTCTGTTTGAAGACCTCCAAAGAGTCCACCCCTCCAAGGCAGTCTATTCCACTCTCTTTTGTGAGGTGAGCTTCTTGGAAGCAATGTAAGCCCAACCACCACATTTTGGTGTTTTTGTAGTGACTTGGGCAATCTGAGAACAATTTTATTTTTTTGCCCACAGGCAATATATCTATCAAACGATAACTTGATTTCCATCCTGCTTTTCCCCCAAAAGTGGAAATTCAATTCGCTTACAGAATAAAACCAGATATAAGTATATATAAAAAAGTGTATATAAAAAAGATGAAACTGTCGAATCAAAACCGTACTAAACATTAATTTAAAAGTACAGATTTAAAAAAAAAAAAAAAAACAGCCCGAAAACAGAAGCCCCATTATATAAAACAATCAGGCTGGCATCCTGTTCTGCAGTTACAAGATTGTGAGATGGACTTCCGATCTTGTAAGTGCTGGGCATTCATGTTTACAGGTGTTAATGATGAAACATGATCGCCCAAACCTACCTTTGCAGCCTAGCAGCACCCAACCAAGCCACTGGAGATCAAGAGGGAGAAAACAACATCTACAGCAGTCTTTTGATTAGAAAGTGACATATCAGTTTTGGCAGGGCCCAGGAGGTCTCTCCAGCAATTCCTGTGCAAAGGAATCATTGCAGCATGGACTGGTGCCGTGCCAATTGTGCAACCTTTGCAAAAGGTGTGGGACCTGTGGCAATGATAGCACGAAAGACGACGCTTGATAGTTCAGCAGCTGAGAGCGAAATCCGCCTGAGGGCGAGAATGATGGGAATAATGTTGCAGATGGTGCAGGAAATTACCAGAAAATAGTTTGGAGCAACAGGTATTTTGTATATTTAAGGGGGAAAAAACAACCCTGAGAACTAGGCAACAAATACTGCAATCTCCAGCAATATTTGCTGTGTCTGGAGGAGTCCAAAATGACTAAATGGAGGTTATCTTACCTTGGACATATCATGAGATGACAGGAGTCAGTGGGGGAAAATGATAGTTGGCATGCTCCTTGGGGTTTGTTGCTCTTGTTGTGTGCCTTCAAGTTGGTTCTGACATGGCGACTTTAGGATGAACCTATCATGGGGTTTCCCCTGAGGCTGAGAGAGTGTCACTTGCTCAAGTTCACCCAGTAAGTTTTATGGCCAAGCTGGGAATTTACATCTTTATAAATGTCGTTCTGTGTTCACAAATCTGAATTGATTATTTTCAGAGTATCCATGCCCACCTATATGCTGCTGTGATGCTGCCGCTTAAGAGCATCCTTTGCACAATGGTGGAGTGACTGGTGGGACCTGATGCTCAATGGGTACCGAAGCACATTGGGACGTGCCCCAGTGCAAATCTGGATACCAGATAGGAAGTACTGGACACCCATTGTGCATCAGAAGTGCCCAATGCACATCCAAAGAGCCTGGCACGCATTGCCAGTGCCTGGATGTGCATCTTTACAATTCGCTAACCAGGTTTCATTGCATTTCTGCCACAGAGTTACGAATTCGTAAAGTTATGAAACATATAGACTTTGATGTAGGATCTCGGTCGACAATGCTGAGAAAAATGGAAGGCTTTAGAAAAAGAGGAAAGCCACATGACAGGTGAGTGGACTCAAACAAGAAAGCCTCAGTCCCTGAGTTTGCAAGACCTGAGCTGGGGCGTGAATGAATGACTCGAAGGCCTTGCTTTCATCGCTGACTTGAAAGCAGGGAACAACAGCAAGTGTGGTTCTGTGTGTTGCCATAGAGGGGCATATTCCTGCAACCTGTTCAAACATGCACACGTATTGCTTGTGCACCAAATGGCATCCCTGCCAATACACTACTAGGCATGCATGGAGGTAGAGCGGCAGCTTCCCCCTCAGCCTCCATGCGCTTCTCTGTATGCGTACAGCACAAATGCACATGCTCCCAGATATGTACAGACAAGTGAAAGAAGTCGAAGCAAAGAGATACAGAGAAGGCAGCAACGCATGCACATGGGAACACGTAGGCGCATCTGCGCATGAGAGGCCATGCGGATCTGGATCTCCCATCCCCTCCTAGAAGGGCCCCTCCTGCCGTGCACGGCCACATTTCCACAGGACAAAGGAAATGTCTCAGCCCGTTCCAAGCCGGACAGCTGCCAAGGGGCCTCCTTCAATTCCCCATTCATCACAGCCTCCTCAGACAGAGGATGGGACTTAAAGGGACAGCGGGCTCTTTCTCTCGCCAGCTCTGTTCCCACTGCTGGAAGAGCCATCTTTGCATTCAGCTCTCCCCCTGGCCTGCATCAATCCAGGAGCAACAAGAGCTACAGGGCATGCTTGGCACAGATGATGACAGATCAATACCACACATGCACCCGTAAAAAACACTTTAAAGGAGATTCTTCCAAGGCCAAGGCCTGCAATTTGGGGGGTGATGTGGGGGGTACAGGAGAGCGCACTAGAAGGGGAGACATCCTGCTAGTTGTTGCTGTTGTGTGCCTTCAAGCCCTTTCCAAGTTGTGGCAACCCTAAGGCAAACCTAATGCCCACACTGAGGAGCTACATAAATTCAGCCTAGACAATGAGGAAATCGAAATAGTCAAAGAGTTCCCATACCTTGGATCAAACATGGATGAGAAAGGAGACTGCAGTCAAGAAATCAGAAGGAGGCTAGGAATGGGAAGGGCAGCCCTAAAAGAGCTAGACAAGATCATAAAGTGTAAAGATATACAGTTCAATACTAAAGTATTTAATACTAAATACTAATAGCATTTT